GCACGACCACGCCCCAGCACGACCACCCCCCAGCACGACCACCCCCCCAACACGACCACCCCCCAGCACGACCACCCCCCAGCACGACCACACCCCAGCACGACCACTCCCTAGCACGACCACACCCCAGCACGACCACACCCCAGCACGACCACACCCCAGCACGACCACATCCCAGCACGACCACACCCCAGCACGACCCGATCGATAAAACACAGGGTGCGGAGCACCCCAGCACGAACCCACCCCAGCACGACCACACCCCAGCACTACCAGACCCCAGCACGACCCCACCCCAGCACGACCCCACCCCAGCACGACCATACCCCAGCACGACCACACCCCAGCACGACCCGACCCCAGCACGACCCTACCCCAGCAAGACACACCCCAGCACGACCACACCCCAGCACGACCTCACCACAGCACGACCACGCCCCAGCACGACCACGCCCCAGCACGACCACGCCCCAGCACGACCACGCCCCAGCACGACCACCCCCCAGCACGACCACCCCCCAGCACGACCACCCCCCAGCACGACCGCACCCCAGCACGACCACTCCCCAGCACGACCACTCCCCAGCACGACCACACCCATCACGTACCTACACCCCAGCAACTACCACACAACAGCCGACCACACCCCATCAGGACCACACCCCCAAAAGGCCAAACTAAACTCATCGATAAATCAAAGTGGTGCGAGCACCCAGGCAGCGAAACCCACCCCAGCACGACCCCACCCCAGCACACCCACCACCCCCAGCACGACCACGCCCCAGCACGACCACACCCCAGCACGACCACACCCCAGCACGACCACACCCCAGCACGACCACACCCCAGCACGACCACACCCCAGCACCAGCACGACCACACCCCAGCACGACCCGATCGATAAATCACAGGGTGCGGAGCACCCCAGCACGAACCCACCCCAGCACGACCCCACCCCAGCAAGACCACACCCCAGCACGACCGCACCCCAGCACGACCTTACCACAGCACGACCACACCCCAGCACGACCACGCCCCAGCACGACCACGCCCCAGCACGACCACGCCCCGGCACGACCACGCCCCAGCACGACCACGCCCCAGCACGACCACCCCCCAGCACGACCACCCCCCAGCACGACCACCCCCCAGCACGACCACCCCCAAGCACGACCACACCCCAGCACGACCACTCCCCAGCACGACCACACCGCCTTGGTTGAGTGGTTGCCTGTCGTCGTGGAATGTTTCGTGGGGTGTCTCGTGGAATGTTTCGCGGGTGTCCTGCGTGAAATGTTTGTGGGGTGTCTCTGGAATGTTTCGTGAGGTGGTCTCGTGGGCTGTTTCGTGAGGTGTCTCGTGGGATGTTTCGTGAGGTGTTGCCCAGTTGGGTATCATGAAAACGTGTCCATGCTCCACATGTCTATATCCCTTTCCGGGTTCGTGGGTCCATCATGTTTTTAGCAAAGCAACCAGCCCAAGCATTCCAAACCCAAGTAATCGATGCGCACGCCCGCCCGCAAAGTCCCGCGAGGCCATGTTCGGTGACATCTCAGTGTCCCACGCCGCGTCGGGAAACTCCTCGATACTGCTGCCCCATCTCGGGCCAGCACTGCTTACCAAGACGTGCAACTCGCCCTCGCGCTCCGCCGGTCTGGCTGCCAAAGCTCGCCAGGCACGATCGGCATTGAGCTCGTCGCCCGGAAGTGAAACGTATGCGCCAGGCCCCATGTCGTTCAGCTGCTTGGCAACCCGATCGCACGCCTCGGCCGTCCTGGCGGAGATGTAGACCCTCGCGCCATTCGCCACCAAGCCCTTCGAGATCATGAGCCCGATGCCGCAAGAGCCGCCCGTGACCAGCGCCACCCGGCCCTTGACGACGCCGAAGAGATCGCCGACGGCTAGCCCGGGGGTTCGGCGTCACCTTGGACGCCCGGGTTATCCGGGAAAACTCTGGTCCAGGGTAGCATCTGGTTTGGCCCCCCCGACGCACGAACCCATCACCACCCCCAACCCTGATGATTCGGGAATGGTTGGGCGCCCGCATGATTCAGGACATCTCAAACTGGGATGCCGGTTTGGGCCCACGGGGCGCGAGTCGGGAGCCGCCCCTGACCAACCCCGGCCCTCATGATTCTTGGAGGAGGGCGAGTTGAGACAGTGGAAACTCGAGATGAACTCAAGTAGGGGGCCACATGCGAACCCTACCCCTACCCCCCACGATTTTTGAGGGTTCACTTCGCTCGGGAGCTCCCCAACGAAGTGAACCCCACCCTCCCCTTCCAAAATCGTGGGGGACAGGGGTAGGGTTCGCACGTGGCCCCCTCTGAACGGCGCCGTCCTCGCCCCGCGCGCCCGCCCAGTCCCGCAGGCCCCGCAGGCAGCGAGGGAGTATTTTCGTTTGACCAGTTTGGGAGATGTCTCGCATACTTTCTGACCATTTGGGAAGATCTCTTGAATCTTTTCGTTTTTTCCCGGAAAGGGCGGGGGCCCAGGGTTCTCTTTTAGTAGGTAAACCTGTCCCCCGGTGCCAACTTGAGGGAGGCCGGCGAATTTTTTCCCTGATAAATAACGAGGTCGAAGGAGGCCGGCGAATTAAAATTTGAGGATGTCTCGAGCGAAACGCTTGTTTTTGAAATCCCGATCGATAAATCACAGGGTGCTGGCCACTTTTTCGTGTGTTGAGGATGTCTCGAGCGAAACGCTTGCTCCGCAGAGTTTGCCGAGGATGTCTCGAGCGAAACGCTTGTTTTCCAGAGCCGACCGCGACGCGGAAAAGCGCCCCGCGCGAAGGAATTTCGATGATGTCTCGACTAATTCCTTTGTTTTTGTTAAATTTGTACGATTTCCTGAATTTTGGCAGGATGTCCTCGAGCGAAATGCGCCTGTAGCGAAATGCACGACCCCACCCCAGCACGACCACACCCCAGCACGACCACACCCCAGAACGACCACACCCCAGCCCGACCCCACCCAAGCACGACCCCACCCCAGCACGACCACACCCCAGCACGACCACACCCCAGCACGACCACACCCCAGCCGGACCCCACCCCAGCACGACCCCACCCCAGCAAGACCACACCCCAGCACGACCACACCCCAGCACGACCTCACCACAGCACGACCACACCCCAGCACGACCACGCCCCAGCACGACCACGCCCCAGCACGACCACGCCCCAGCACGACCACCCCCCAGCACGACCCCCCCCCCAGCACGACCACCCCCGAGCACGACCACCCCCCAGCACGACCACCCCCCAGCACGACCACTCCCCAGCACGACCACACCCCAGCACGACCACACCCCAGCACGACCACACCCCAGCACGACCACACCCCAGCACGACCACACCCCAGCACGACCCGATCGATAAATCACAGGGTGCGGAGCACCCCAGCTCGAACCCACCCCAGCACGACCCCACCCCAGCACGACCCCACCCCAGCACGACCACGCCCCAGCATGACCACACCCCAGCACGACCACACCCCAGCACGACCACTCCCCAGCACGACCCCACCCCAGCACGACCCCACCCTAGCACGACCACACCCCAGCACGACCACACCCCAGCACGACCCCACCCCAGCACGATCACACCCCAGCACGAACCCACCCCAGCAAGACCACACCCCAGCACGACCGCACCCCAGCACGACCTTACCACAGCACGACCACACCCCAGCACGACCACGCCCCAGCACGACCACGCCCCAGCACGACCACGCCCCAGCACGACCACGCCCCAGCACGACCACCCCCCAGCACGACCACCCCCCAGCACGACCACACCCCAGCACGACCACTCCCCAGCACGACCACACCCCAGCACTACCACACCCCAGCACGACCACACCCAGTCGCACCCCCGTGGAATGTTTCGTGGCGTGTCTGGTTGAGTGGTTGCCTGTTCGTGGGGTGTCTCGTGGAATGTTTCACGGGGTGTCTCGTGGAATGTTTCGTGAGGTGTCTCGTGGAATGTTTCGTGAGGTGCCTCGTGGGCTGTTTCGTGAGGTGTCTCGTGGGATGTTTCGTGAGGTGTTGCCCAGTTGGGTATCATGAAAACGTGTCCATGCTCCACATGTCTATATCCCTTTCCGGGTTCGTGGGTCCATCATGTTTCGCCCAAACTCCCCCTGTTGGGGGACACGCCCGACTGAAGCCCCGCGCGCCCGCCGCAGCCCCGCAGGCCCCGCCGGCAGGCCGCGAGGGAGCTGCCGGGGCCGCCGCCTCGCGCCCGCCGCCCGCGGGAGGGGAGGCCCCGCGCCGCGCCCTCCGCGGGGCGGGGCGAGAGGCCGCCGCTGGCGCGCGCGGAACCCGGGGCGGCCCCGGGCAGCCAGCGCCCCTGGCACAGGGCAGGTTTTGACACACAGGGTTGTGAAAAATCCACGGTTTTAGCACACAGGATTGTGACAAATATCTAGGGTTTTCACACACAGGATCGTTAAAAAAATCTAAGATCTGGAATGCATGGCTCACGTATGAACAAAAGTAGTGCGTGTATTCTTTCATGCAGGATTTGACACTTGTCATACAGGCCAGGGCCGTTTTGATACAGGACTCTGAAAATTGGAATACAGGATTCTGAATTGCTCAATACCTGATGTTAGCACAAGGCAGTTTTTTACACATAGGATTTGACAATTAAGTGATTTAAATACACGACTGATGTATGAACGACTCTGTGCACGAGCTCGTCGTTGCTTTTGCATGCGAAATCCCTGCATGTTTCATACACGCTCCGCGCGCGGAGCGTGCATCAAAAATGGCACTGTAGTAGGGTGAATTGGGCGCCCGAGTTATCTGGGGTAACTCGGGTCCGGGGTAACTCGGGTTTGGATTCCCGAAAAAGGAACCCGAGTTAGCCCTGACCCGAGTTGCCCCTGATGATGTGGGGCTCTGGACGCCCGAGTTATCCGGGGCAACTCGGGTCTGGGGTAACTCGGGTTTGGATTCCCGAAAAACGAACCCGAGTTAGCCCTGACCCGAGTTACCCCTGATGATTCGGGGCTCTGGGTGAAGGCCTTGCCCCGTCGCCGGACTGCAGCAGCCCAGGGCCTCGCGCCAGGAAGGCCTGCACGCCTGGAAGCACGGCCGCGGGCTGCAGCAAGCACAGCTCGGCCTTCGAGTAGAAGCCAGGAAGAGGAGGAGGAGGGGGAGGAGGAGGAGGAGGAGGAGGAGGAGGAGGAGGAGGAGGAGGAGGGGGAGGGGGAGGAGGAGGAGGAGGGACGCGACCACAGTGCTGTATTGAAAACGAATACCCAACCAAGGAGGGTTGGGAATTCCCGTTTTTTTCCCGGAAAGGGCGGGGGCCCAGGGTTCTCTTTTCTTTTAGTAGGTAAACCTGTCCCCCGGTGCCAACTTGAAGGAGGCCGGCGGATTTTTTCCCTGATAAATATCGAAGTCGAAGGAGGCCGGCGGATTAAAATTTGAGGATGTCTCGAGCGAAACGCTTGTTTTTCAGAATTTGTTGAGGATGTCTCGAGCGAAACGCTGGTTTTGCAGAGTTGGGGATGTCTCGAGCGAAACGCTTGGTTTCAGAATTTGTTGAGGATGTCTCGAGCGAAACGCTGGTTTTGCAGAGCCGACCGCGAGAAAAGCGCTCCTCGCGCAGGAATTCCGAGGATGTCTCGACTAATTCGTTTGTTTTTGTACGATTTCCTTGAATTTTGGCAGGATGTCTCGAGCGAAATGCACGACCCCACCCTAGCACGACATACCCCAGCACGACCACACCCCAGCACGACCAGACGACCAGCAACGACCCCACCCCACACGACCCACCCCAGCACGACATACCCGAGCACGACAGCCCAGCACGACCAGTCCCCAGCACGACGACCCTCCCGCACGACCACACCCCATGCCCGACCCACCCCCCAGCACGACCTCACCACAGCACGACACACCCCCAGCACGACCACGCCCCAGCACGACCACGCCCCAGACGACCACGCCCAGCACGACACCCCCGCACGACACCCCCCAGCACGACACCCCCCAGCACGACACCCCAGCACGACCACACCCCAGCAGGACCCCAGCACGACCACACCCCAGCACGACCACACCCCAGCACGACCACACCCCAGCACGACCACACCCAGTCGCACCCCCGTGGAATGTTTCGTGGCGTGTCTGGTTGAGTGGTTGCCTGTTCGTGGGGTGTCTCGTGGACTGTTTCACGGGGTGTCGCGTGGAATGTTTCGTGTGGTGTCTCGTGGAATGTTTCGTGAGGTGTCTCGTGGGATGTTTCGCGGGGTGTCTCGTGGGATGTTTCGTGGGATGTCGCCCAGTTGGGTATCGTGAAAACGTGACCATGCTGCACATGTCTTTATCCCTTTCCGGGTTCGTGGGTCCATCATGTTTCAAAGTGGGACTCCGACTCGGAGATCCCCCACATCCCCTGTCATCTAGCCAGTCAGGAGGAGGAGGAGGAGGAGGAGGAGGAGGAGGAGGAGCGCCACCTTCCGCAGCCGGGCCCCATTGCTAGATATGGCGCGCTGGGACCCGTCGACCGGCGTCCCTGGACAGAGCGCGCTTCGGGAGAAGCCGCCCCAGCGCGAGTCGCAATGCACCACTCGGGCTGCTGCTGCTGCTGCTGCTGCTGCTGCTGCTGCTGCTGCTGCTGCTGCTGCTGCTGCTGCTGCTGCTGCTGCTGCTGCTGCTGCTGCTGCTGCTGCTGCTGCTGCTGCTGCTGCTGCCTGGCGATCCTACAGCGACAGCTCCTTTTCGCAATCCTGCAAGGAGGTTTCCAGCAAGGACTCGCCAATCGGAGGTCAATGCAACCTCATGGTGGGAAAAAACACTGAAAAGTTCAAGGCATGAGAATGCACCAGCCAGCAAAATGCAACAGCACGCAACATGCACCTGTCGGCAGGATGCACCAGAGAGGAGGTGTGGGAGGAGAGAGAGATAACCCGAGAGTTCTCACGGTGGCCTAACATTGAATATCATCACGAAATGTATCATTTGTGGCCTTGGTGGTCACCAGCTGTCATCTTCGTATCTGTCGTCAATCCAGCTCAACAGGATCCGACGAACAAGCCGCTGCCCGAGGTGATCATGGGCCCAGCGTGTGTGCAGGTCTTCCTGGTGGTGGCAAGGAAGGTGACCGAGGCGGGCGACAAAGTGGGGCTCGCCGACGCGAAGACGTGGAAGGAGCAGCAGGAGCGTCTCGACAGCCTCACCTCGGTCGCATATCTGGCAATGCTGGTCAAAGGGCTCAGAGTCAGCATGGCCTTCAGAGAGGGGCTCGCGAAGATGGTCTTCGGCTTGGCGGATCCCAACATGCAGCGGGCGTTCCAGGAGAATTGAGACCCAAGGAGGAGGAGGAGGAGGAGGAGGAGGAGGAGGAGGAGGAGGAGTAGGAGGAGGAGGAGGAGGAGGAAGAGGAGGAGGAGGAGGAGTGTTGATCGGCCAAGCATGGCACCGCGGTCGCACACGGAGAGGGTGCTCCAGCGCGCGCCCCACGAGAATTCGAAGTGTGAGGCGCCAGCTCGGGGTCACAGCTGGCCAGATTGAGATCGCTGATAGCTACACCCTCTGCGAGGGTGACCGCGTCGAGTTTGCAGATCACCAGTTAGAGATTGCAGATGCCACAGGGGAGAATGGCCGCGTCGGGGAGAGTTTCCAGGTCGAGTGAGGATGAGGGCGCCGTGAACGCCCTGAAGGAGGCTCGTGCTGTCGCCGCCGCCGCTGCTATCCCCACTCCTCCTCATCCTCCTCCTCCTCCTCCTCCTCCTCCTCCTTTGAGAACTCCCTCGTCCACTCCGTCCTTCAAAGATCTCGTGGCCTACGCCACGCGACTTTAGCTCTACGTGCTTTCTTTTTTCCCGGAAAGGGCTCGAGCCCAGGGTTCTCTTTTAGTTGGTAAACCTGTCCCCCGGTGCCAACTTGAAGGAGGCCGGCGGATTTTTTCCCTGATAAATATCGAGGTCGAAGGAGGCCGGCGAATTAAAATTTGAGGATGTCTCGAGCGAAACGCTTGTTTTTGAAATCCCGATCGATAAATCACAGGGTGCGGGCCACTTTTTCATGTGTTGAGGATGTCTCGAGCGAAAAAAAAAAAAAAAAAAGAAAAGGAAAAAAAAGAAAAAAAAAAAAAAAAAAAAAAAAAAAAAAAAAATAAAAAAAAAAAAAAAAAAAAAAAAAAAAAAAAAAAAAAAAAAAAGAAGGAAAAAAAAAAAAAAAAAAAAAAAAAAAAAAAAAAGTAAAAAAAAGAAAAAAAAAAAAAAAAAAAAAAAAAGTAAAAAAAAAGAAAAAAAAAAAAAAAGAAAAACAAAAAAAAAAAAAAAAGAAAAAAAAAACGCTTGCTCCGCAGAGTTTGCCGAGGATGTCTCGAGCGAAACGCTTGTTTTGCAGAGCCGACCGCGACGCGGAAAAGCGCCCTGCGCGAAGGAATTTCGATGATGTTTCGACTAATTTGTTTGTTTTTGTACGATTTCCTGGAATTTTGGCAGGATGTCTCGAGCGAAATGCACGACCCCACCCTAGCACGACATACCCCAGCACGACCACACCCCAGCACGACCAGACCCCAGCACGACCCCACCCCAGCACGACCCCACCCCAGCACGACCATACCCAGCACGACCACACCCCAGCACGACCCGACCCCAGCACGACCCTACCCCAGCAAGACCACACCACAGCACGACCACACCCCAGCACGACCCCGCCTCAGCACGACCACGCCCCAGCACGACCACGCCCCAGCACGACCACGCCCCAGCACGACCACGCCCCAGCACGACCACCCCTCAGCACGACCACCCCCCCAGCACGACCACCCCCCCGCACGACCACCCCCCAGCACGACCACACCCCAGCACGACCACTCCCCAGCACGACCACACCCCAGCACGACCACACCCCAGCACGACCACACCCAGTCGCACCCCCGTGGAATGTTTCGTGGCGTGTCTGGTTGAGTGGTTGCCTGTTCGTGGGGTGTCTCGTGGAATGATTCAAAGGGTGTCTCGTGGAATGTTTCGTGAGGTGTCTCGTGGAATGTTTCGTGAGGTGTCTCGTGGGATGTTTCGCGGGGTGGCACGACCACGCCCCAGCACGACCACCCCCCCAGCACGACCACCCCCCAGCACGACCACACCCCCAGCACGACCACCCCTCGCACGACCACACCCCAGCACGACCACACCCCAGCACGACCACTCCCCAGCACGACCACACCCCAGCACGACCACACCCCAGCACGACCACACCCAGTCGCACCCCCGTGGAATGTTTCGTGGCGTGTCTGGTTGAGTGGTTGCCTGTTCGTGGGGTGTCTCGTGGAATGTTTCACGGGTGTCTCGTGGAATGTTTCGTGAGGTGTCTCGTGGAATGTTTCGTGAGGTGTCTCGTGGGATGTTTCGCGGGGTGTCTCGTGGGATGTTTCGTGAGATGTCGCCCAGTTGGGTATCGTGAAAACGTGACCATGCTGCACATGTCTTTATCCCTTTCCGGGTTCGTGGGTCCATCATGTTGTCCTTGAGCCTGGATCCCTGGGCCGGCTTCAAATCGCTCTGTCTGCCCGCTGCGAATCGCGGTCGAGCGAAGTCAATTCGGGGCTCCCGCCTGTCTGGGTTGGGGGCCGTCGTTCACTCGCATCTGATTGCGCACTATAGGTCGCACATAGCAGAATATCCTGGCGAATGCTGCTGTGTGGTCACTCAAACATACGGCCCGAGATCGTTGCACCACCACCACCACCACCTCCTCGTCCTCCTCCTCCTCCTCCTCCTCCGTCATTTGAGATCAGGTCCTCCCTCGTTGTTCCTTCTCTCTCGCTCTCTCTCTCTCCTTGGCGCCTCCTCCTCCTCCTTTTCCATCATCGCCTGCTTCCCCTTCTGCTCTACCTTTCCGCCCTCCCTGGCGGCGTTGGCGTCTGTCGCAGACTCCTACGCCACCAGCACCAGCACCAGTGGGAGGAGTTTCCGTGAGCTTCTCTACAAAGCTTTCCTCAAGATGTGGGGGTTCTTAGGGATCCGGGAGGCCAGGAGAACCAGCAAGAACGACAGAATCCATTCCCCTGCTTCACCTCCCTCCTCCTTCCTTCCTCCTCCATTCGAGCACGCACACAGCGAAGCCGCGCGTCGCATTATCATCATCAGCTTCCTCCTCCTTCGACCTCGACCTCCAACCTCGACGACGACGACGACGACGACGACGACGACGACGACGACGACGACGACGCCGACGACGACGACGACGACGACGACGACGACGACGACGACGACGACGACGACGACGACGACGACGACCCCCCGGCAGGGGCCTCTCACGGCGGTGCGGCCGGTCGCCCTGGACTGCTGCTGCGGCGCCACAACCGCGCCCGGCGCTCCCTCGGCGCGGGAGGAGGAGGAGAAAACCGAGGAGGAGGAGGAAAAGGAAAAGGAGGACGAGGAGGAGGAGGGGAGGGGAGAGGCGGAGGAGGAAGCGGAGGAGGAGGAGGAGGAGGAGGAGGAAGAGTAAGGAGTGAGGAGGAGGAGGAGGAGGAGGAGGAGGAGGAGGAGGAGGAGTAGGAGGAGGAGGAGGAGGAGGAGGAGGAGGACGACGAGGAGGAGAGGAGCGTCTGCGAAGGGGGGGCACCCCTCCGCCCCTCGACCCGCGCGGGCGACACGTCTCGGGGGCACGCGGGCGCCCTGCCTGCGAAACGGCTCACGAGGGCGCGCGGCAGTGCTAGGGCTCCCTACTTCGCGCTCTCGCGCTCCCCGGAGCGGGCAGCGCGAAGAACTTCGCGCTCTCGCGCCGCCCCCCCCCCCCCCCCCCCCGCGAAAGGGAGAAGAGGAGGACGAGGAGGGGGGGGGGGAAGGAACGAGGACCGCGAAGCGCGAAGCGCGAACAACTTCGCGCCCTCGTGGGAGCCCTTGTAATGATGCAAGGCCCTTGGACACCCAAATCCCACCAGCCTCTGGGCGTGAGCGATCTAGGGAGCTCGTTCTCCCAGCATCGGGGGCGCGCGAGCACGGATCAGCGACCCACGGACTCGGCGCGCGGTCGCCAAGTCCGTGGACCGTGGGAGGTGCCCTCCCCAGAACGCGGCCAGTGCCGCCTCGCTCGGCGGCGGCCCTCCCCAGAACTTGGCCAGTGCCGCCTCGCTCGGCGGCGGGTCCGCGGTTTCCCATGGAAGCGGGACCCGTCGCTGATCCACGCCCCCTTGATCCATGTTCCAGATCGCCTGACAAATCATCGTCGATGACGTCGTGGTGGTCGTCGACCCAGGCCAGAAGGACGTCCTTCAGGAACACGAGACCCTCCGTCGGCCAAAGGAGTCAGAGCATCCAGGGGCACCCTCCCCAGGATGCACAAGAACCTCCAACGAACACGAAGAGCACTAGAGTACACTCCCCGAGCCGACCTGGATCTGATACAGTCGGGGCCTTGACCTAAGGAACCCTAAATAAGGAACGAGGCCTCTGTTTTCCACGAGTTAAACTTCGACTTCATATCAGAAACCTGAGGAGAACCTGAGGCAAGCTGCGCAACGATCAAGGAACGCGGAGCCCCTCCCCAACAAAAGAGGGCTCCTTCCTCAGGGCCCGATCTGATGCCTCGGCCCGACTGTGCTCCCTTCTGGGGCATCCGCCACCCTGCCCCCGGGCACGGCGCCGGCGGGTTCTGGGGCCCTCTGCCCAGCCCCCTGCGCCTCCGCCCGCGCTCCGGGGGAGTTTCCTGAGGGCCGGGACCCCGAGTGCCAAAATCTCTCTCGGGGCCTCCTGCGTGCCCGGGGGGCTCCCCCGCATCTGCTCGCGCGGCTTTCTGCGGCCCAGGAGGGTCCCCAGACAGGCCCAAGGGGGCCTCGAGAGGCCCCCCAGACGGCACGAGGAGGGCCCCGACGCCCCCAGACATCGCCCCAAGACGGCCCAAGAAGCCCCCAAGACGGCCCAAGAGGCCGCCTGGAGGCCTCCCGAGAGGGCCCCATGAGGCCGCAACCATTGACTTCAAAATTGTTCAACCTTTTTAGGGGTCTTCACACTTCGAGGCTCCGACGCTCCAGGAAGTCCCAAGAGGCCCCCAAGACCGCCACAAGACAGCCCCAGAGGCCCCCAAGAGAGGACATGCGAGAGGACACAGGACCCTTCCGAGGGCCACGTTGCCACAGGAATGCAGGAGGCATCGACCGCAAGACACAGGACACGAGGGTACCCTTGATCTGGCAGGGTCGACCTACTAATCCAGGCCGCCTGTACATAGCCCCGAGAAGCGCCTAAGGTAGCCCAAGAGGGCCCCAAGACGGCCCCCAGGGGGGAACACGCACAGAAGATACGAGCCGCCTCGACGAGATTTATGTCGGGCGTGTCCCCCTACAGGGGGATTTTCGACGAAAAATGCAAAATACCCCAAAAACACCCCAAAAAGGTCAAAAATACTCAAACAATAGTCAACAGACTATTTTTTGATAATGTTTTTTGACTATTTTGGGGGTACTTTTTATTTGTCGTCGAAAATCCCCCTGTAGGGGGACAGGCCCGACTTAAGACGAGATCCCAACGAGCATCCCAGAGGCCTCAGAGATCCCGCTCAAGCGCGGGCCTGGGTCACACTCCTGGCCCCTGACGGCCCAGCTACGACGACACCGGCTCCCGCTTGATACTTCCTCACGACTGACAGCGTTACTCTTAAGTCGGGGCTGTCCCCCTACAGGGGGATTCTCGACGAAACATAAAAAATACCCCAAAAATAATCCAATTATCCCGGCAAAGCAACCTAACAGCGATGTGTAGAAGCATATCTGAAAGCATTCCCCTTAAGATTCAGATGAAAATCCAGTTGTCGAATTCTGCTGTTCTCGCAGTCGTAGTCGCATTCGCGATGACAGTCGCAGCGGCAACGGCAGTCGCAGTCACAGCCTCAGCCTCAGCCTGCCTCAGCCTCAGCCTCAGCCTGCCTCAGCCTCAGCCTCAGCCTGCCTTCAGCCTCAGCCTCAGTCTGCCTTCAGCCTCGGCCTCAGCCTCAGCCTGCCTCAGCCTCAGCCTGCATCAGCCTCAGCCTCAGCCTCAGCCTGCCTCAGCATCAGCCTGCCTCAGCCTCAGCCTCAGCCTCAGCCTCAGCCTCAGCCTCAGTCTGCCCTTCAGCCTCGGCCTCAGCCTCAGCCTGCCTCAGCCTCAGCCTGCCTCGGCCGCAGCATCAGCCTGCCTCAGCATTCAAAATGTGGCCCAGGAATGGAGTTCTGGGAACTCGAAGACCACGAAGTGGCCTACAGTTGGCTCCGGGCATTCAAAATCATGCCCAGGAATGGAGTTCTGGGAACTCGAAGACCACGAAGTGGCCTACAGTTGGCTCCGGGCATTCAAAATGTGGCCCGGGAATGGAGTTCTGGGAAATCGAAGAGCACGAAGTGGCCTACAGTTGGCTCCGGGCATCCAAAATGTGGCCCGGGAATGGAGTTCTGGGAAGTCGAAGAGCACGAAGTGGCCTACAGTTGGCTCCGGGCATCCAAAATGTGGCCCGGGAATGGAGTTCTGGGAGCACCAAGAGCGATTTTGCGAGGATGTCCCAAGCGATTTCGGCTTCGGCGGCAACCTCCCGGGTCCCGCCCAGACCCCCCTGAGGAGTCATGATGCTCTCTTTTGAGACCACTAGAAACCTATCAGCAAGAGCTGTTAGGTAAAAATAATCCAAAAATAGTCTGGGGACTATGTTTCGAATATTGGTTTCCCTTTTGTGGGTATGTTTAAGGTATTTTATAGTTTTCGTCGAAAACCCCCCTGTAGGGGGACACGCCCGACATAACGTTACTCCGAGACGCCATGACGACAGCGGCTCCCGCTTGTCATTCTTCACAGTTTACTCCGAGACGCCCTGGCCAGAGAGGCCGCCAAAAGCTCAGGAAAGGCGCGCTCGCCCGAGCCGTCCTCGCAAAGAAAGCAAGCCGGCGGAAGCCGAATTACTACCGGACGGCTCCTCGGGTTCTCGGGTCTGGTGCCTGCCTTGGGATCCTCGGATTCCCTGGTCTTGTTGATCAGGCTCCCCAGCATCTCAAGGCAATGCCAAGCACCGCGCCCATGCAATAGGAAGCTTCCCCCTGATCGGGGTCGCGCCGGGTTCGTTTTCGTCGGAGATCCGGCCCCCGGAAGCCTCAAGGTCCCCGGGGCCCTCCAGTGACCTCAGACCTGGGCGCCGTGGAGAAGAGAATCACGCCGGGCGTTCCTGCCCCGTCGCGGGTCCGGGGGCCCTCAGGGAGCGATTCTCGACTCCAAAACCTCAGCGGAAGCATGGCGCGACTTTTGCGACGTCGTGTTTCTGCACGCCGCCGGATTCGGCGGTGGACAAACCTCTCTTTCGTAGACCTCCCCTTAGTGAAAATGGCCCGGGACCGAAATCGTCGGACCTGGACCCGCAAGAAATGACGGCCGCGACGCCCCCCGCGAACCGAAAACGGCCAACTCCTTGATCGACGTGTCAGGGTAGGTGGTCTGTCCATCCCCGACGGATCCTCATCTGTGGGAAAAAACACACACACACACACACACGCACACACGCACACACGCACGCACGCACGCACGCACGCACGCACGCACGCACGCACGCACGCACGCACACACACACACACACACACACACAGTGTGTGTGTCTTGTTTTGTGTGTGTGTGTTTTGTGTTTGTTGTTCTTCTGTTCTTTTCCCCCACAGACTGTGTGTATGTTTGTGTGTTGTGTGCTTGTTGTTTGTGTGTGTGTGTGTTTTGTGTTTCGTTTTTTGTGCTTTCTTATTTTTCTTGCCCCGCGCTGGGCGGCCCTCTCCGCGCCCTCGCGCCGTGGACCCCTGGAGGAGGGCAGCTCTCTGGCCCGGGCGGGGCGGAGCGCCGAGCGCGGCCCCCCTCGCAGGTAACCCAGCTCCCCCCTTCGGCCCTCCGGCTTCTCCACAGCTCTCCTCCCCTCGGCCCCAGGATGGTGTGCTGACCCTCCTCCTCCTCCTCCTCCTCCCCCTCCTCCTCCTCCTCCTCCTCCTCCTCCTCCTCCTCCTTCCTCCTCCTCCTCCTCCTCCTCCTCCTCCTCCTCCTCCTCCTCCTCCCCTCGGCCCCAGGATGGTGTACTTTGAGGGATGAATAAACGACCCTGCCCTGGGTTACAAGTGCGTGGTCTGTAAACCTCCTGGGGGCCCCCAAAGCCCAGAGCCGCCAGGACGCGGCACATCACGCAGGGTTTACCCTGTCAGCCCACAGGAGTTTCAGCGCACAGCGCCTCGTAAACCAAGATAGGGGCGTTGTTGCTGCCCTTGAGTAATGACCCTCCCGGCACAGGTGGTGGTTCTGAGGTGTCTCCTGCGGATGCGGTCTTGAGAGCGGGCGGGGCGGCGGCGGCAGGAGCGTCGGGCGCTGCAGCGCTGCAACAGCCGCTGGTC